TTGAGAGATCATCGAGATTTAGCCTCCTTTTTTTGCAGAGCTTTCGAATTTTTGCATCTTCATGGAATTATCCATTGGGTAAAAGAAAAAATATAAATTATTGCTTTTAGAATTTAGCTTCAAAAATATTGAGATGAATCGAGCGATTTTGAAATAAAATGCTGATTTTGCTGCTCGATTTTGGGTGTCTAGCAAGTTTTACTCGGATCAACCAGATGTGAAAACGCATGATAGCTCCGTATAGCTCAATGATCCCACCAGGCTGCTAGCTCGGGTTAAAGACTAAGCAATGCTTAACTTAGTCCGGATATCTGGTTGATCCTACCAGGTTGTCACCCTAGGCTAAAAGACTAAGCCATGCATATCTTAGTTCGGATATATGGTTGATCCCACCAGGCTGCTAGTTCGGGTTAAAGGCTAAGCCATGCTTATCTTAGTTCGGATATCTGGTTGATCCCACCAGACTGCTAGCTCGGGTTAAAGACTAAGCCATGCTTAGCTTAGTTCGGATACATTGTAATGATGCAAAATGATCAATTTAGTTAATTTGCTTTTACTTTATTAGGATATACGCGCAAAGTCGCAACCCTTTTCAAATGATTAATTCAGATTACAGATTTATATCCTGATTTTTGTAGTTTTCAAAAGTTGGCATCTTTTAGAAAACTTTGATTTAATTGGTTGACCAAATTAAAGCCTCAGCCAAATTGACCACTTGGTTGACCGAAAGCTTTATTGTTAGCAGAAATCTAGCTAGCTGAATAAACTTTATTACATTAAAACTGCCTTGTCTTGGCAACAATAGTCTTAGCAATTGAATTTATCAAGATTTATCTTCTAATTCAATTCAATATCATGCACTTTCTTTGAGACTTCGCTTTCCGAATATTGATAACAGAGGAAAACGCAGATGAATAGTAAAGTCATGAAGAAAAGTGTCGACAAAGCGCTCATCAGAATTAAGCCATCGAATTTGTGCATTTCCCATTCGATTGCAGTTGTGGCTTCTGAAAATCAAAAAAGCTGAATATTTTTGCATTATAAAAGCCTTTGTTTACTGTCCTACTTGTCTTTGTTTATCCTAAAGCTTTTTCTAAAATGTTCGCTCGGCAAAAAGCTACCGGAATCTTAGATTAAGCCTTGAGTGTACCAGCAAGGATGCATTTCATTACAAACATTACAAACTTTTGACACAAAGGACACCAGTGGCCGCGCACTTTGTGACTGTTACGTCCGATCTAGAAGTCTGTCCGACCTAGACTGATTCTAGATCGGCGTCCGACCGGGGTCGTTTTTAGGGTCGTAGAATCTATTGGTTGGGCTTATTTTAAGCCTTTGTCTCAAGAAAAGTCCCAAGAGAATCGATAGGGTCTTGGGTTATGGATATGATCTCTTTTCACAATGAAAAGATCCTGATTTCTGAGTGGAAGCGCTTTTCCGTATGTTTTACATCGAGTACATCAAAAAAAGCGTGCATTTCTCAAAGAAGCTTTTACCAAAATTCTCGTCTTGAATCTGCAGCCCGTGCCAGGTCAATGAGGATCGGTTTTGAGTCTGAAAAAGTCGGTTTTAATTTAGTAGAAGTTTATGGTTAATTTTTTAGCATTATAACCTATATCTTTACGTTTTTCTCTTAATTCGTAATTCTTTTATGCTCAAAACTTACATAATTCTTTATTTCGTGGAAAATTCTTTCCTCGATCGTGATTCCAGTGTCCATGTTTTGCCGACCCGGTTTATGATATCCACCTAGGAAAATTGATCAACATTATCGGTCATTATTGACTTTATATTGTATTCTAAAAGTTTATATTGCTTTTTTTCATGGTTTATATGGTTAGATTGTTAGATCGTTTTATTATTTATAGGCTTTATATAGTTTTTTTCATGGCTTTATTCATAAAATTATTGAATTTCTGAGCATTGCCTGTGATTTCGCGTCATTCTGCTTTCCTGACAGCGAGCAGGCAGTGAACAGAATCCAAATCCTAGATCTAGTCCGACAGCGAGCAGGCAGTGAACAGAATCCAAATCCTAGATCTAGTCCGACAGCGAACAGAATCCAAATCCTAGATCTAGTCCGACAGCGAACAGAATCCAAATCCTAGATCTAGTCCGACCGAACAGAATCCAAATCCTAGATCTAGTCCGACAGCGAACAGAATCCAAATCCTAGATCTAGTCCGACAGCGAACAGAATCCAAATCCTAGATCTAGTCCGACAGCGAACAGAATCCAAATTCTAGATCTAGTCCGACAGCGAACAGAATCCAAATCCTAGATCTAGTCCGACAGCGAACAGAATCCAAATTCTAGATCTAGTCCGACAGCGAAGAGAATCCAAATTCTAGATCTAGTCCGACAGCGAAGAGAATCCAAATTCTAGATCTAGTCCGACAGCGAACAGAATCCAAATTCTAGGTCTAGCCCGACAGCGCAAAGAATCCAAATCCTACTTCCAATCGTCTACATTACTGCTAAAGCTAATGTGTAGTGTGTGTAAGAAAAAAGTAAAATTTATTCTTTAGAAAAAAAAATCTCGAAATATTTGCCATTATATACAAGCATAAACTTGAAAGATTTTTCTTTTGATATAAAAATTTTCAAGAAACACCGGTAATAGAAAGATTGCGGTGCTTTAAAGTGCTTTTTGCTCAACAGAATGATAAAATTTGAGCACAAAACAGCATAGAAAATAGAGAGAATTTCAAATTTCTAAATGCAATTGACAAAATCGAAAAAAACAAAAAAGACAAGATCACAGTTTTTTTGACCAAATAGCAAAAGTTATTCGAAAAATGTAGGGATATTTTATTTTAAAAGGATTGTTTGACTAAAGAAGGGTTCTAGCGAAATACATAGAATTGTTAAAGTAAAAAAAATCTCATTATTTTTAATGCTTAAAAGTTTACAGTAAGTTAATTAACTTACTTAAGGTTTTGATAAGATTTAGATAAGATTTCTCAAGATTTTCCAGCTACCGCATTTTCTCTAATAGTAGTGCACCGGCGAGCCGACTTGTTGACTATTTTACCGTTTCCAATTTTTCCCAGAAGCTCAACACTCTAATCATTGTCAAGATGTCATTGTCAGCTACATTTCCCAATCCCATATCGATAGGTTCTGATAAGCGGTTCTCGAGATTTCAAGGAATTTAAGCGAAGCGGGAATTAGGGAAAGCAATGAACCGAAAGTTGCGTTTTGACTAAACAAAATCCAAGTTTTGTTGATTGATCGAGTTCTTAATGTTAGCTGAGCTAAGAATCTTTTAGCTGAACTGAGCTAAGAATTTGCTACTTAAGCCCCGCCGTTTTTTAAAAATAGACCCAAAACTCAGATTCTCCATAGCCGAAAACCCGTGGGAGCGCGCGCAAAGCTGAATACTTTATCCTCTCTAATAGTAGTGCCCCCCGGCGAGCCGAGTTGATGCCCATTTTACAGTTTCCAATTTTTCCCAGAAGCTCAACACTCTAATCATCGTCAAGATCTTATTGTCAGCTACATTTTCCGCCCCCACATCAATAGGTTCTGATAAGCGCTTCTCGAGATTTCGAGCAATTTAGGCGACACTCTGGGTCCACTACTATTAGAGAAAATACGGTATATCCAGCTCTGGTAAATCTATGTAAAAAGTTTGCGACAATTCGATAGGTCTATAAACATTTAGTGACCTCAATAAGTACTTCTACAAAAGAAGGTGAAAAAAAAGCACAATGTCTAAATGTTTCTAACTGTTTAAGGAATTGGATTGGATTTTTGGATATTGTAGAATATGTATTTCGATATCTTAATCTCAGACTCAAGGATTTGGCCTTTTCCCCTTATTCTGTGCAGCTCTCGTTTGCCTCATCCTTCTCACCAAACAGCAAATCAGCACAAACATTATAATCAAAAGAGTCGAAACGATCAAGATTCCATAAACGAGAATCAGCGTTTTCGTCGCCCCGTTGTCAATCGGTTTCTTTTGTGTGCCGTCATTTGGTGCACTCGGTACGCTCACCGAGGAGACACTAAAGTTGAATTGAAAGTTGGATACAGTAGAATGATATTGTCGCATCTTACTCGCAATAAAACTCTTGCTTTCAACAGAATTGGCTACAGTTGAATAGCTATGCAAGCTGACCTAGTTATCTAGAGTTGCAACAAAGTTGGCTACAGTAGGATGCGTAGATAAGGCGTAATTTGCGTATATAAGTCGTAATCTGCGTATATAAGGCGTAATCTGCGTATATAAGTCGTAATCTGCGTATATAAGGCGTAATATGCGTGTATAAGGCCCAATATGCCTATAAGGCGCAATATACATATATAAGGCGGACTATGCGTATATAAGGCGCACTATGCGTATATAAGGCGCAATATGCGTATGTAAGGCGAACTATGCGTATATAAGGCGGACTATGCGTATATAATGCGTAATCTGCTTATATAAGGCGTAATGTGCGTATATAAGGCGCTGGGGTTTGTCTATGAGATTTAGGCTAGAAGTGTACAAAATGTCTGCTCAAATCAAATCTTGGATAAAATTCGGGGTTTTCCCCGAAGCCAAAAACAGGACTTAACAAGACCCAATTTTCTAGACCAGGCCAAACCAAGCCCGGAATTCGGGCCCTGTTCTGTCTATGACTTTCTTTCCTAAGATTGGATTTGGATACTTGTGATATTGTATCAAAGCTGTAAATTGTGACAATTGATTGTTCAAGTTCAATTTGAGCTCAAAGTTATGGCAATGGGAAAAGGGGCGGGGCGCGTGCGTATAAAAGGTCGCCTCGCCCCTTTTGCGATTGACAATCAGCTCAAATATCTTGGCGTTGGGCTGTCCAATTTCTATAGTTTTTATACTAATCGATAGAGAAAGACTTGGCGCATCTAATGATACCAAGAAGATTTAAATTACACAGCACAAAACCAAAAAATTTGAGCTTAAAGTCAGATTGCTGATGGCAGATTGGATTAGATTGCTAATGGCAGTCTCAAATATCCCAAAATCGACTAAATCAAGCATACCCTGGATCATTGACAAAAACTTTGGCCGCAATTGGTTTCGATTGTGAGTCCGATGAAGGAGGCTCGTTCGAGGAGTCGGAGCTGGACTTGAAACGATTTGGATCGATCATTGGACCTGAAATTCGACTTGGCACTACTTGGATTACTTGGAGCAAAACTGTAACTCGTTCACGTATTGCCAAAAACGTTTACACTCACCCAATCGCACCGCAGCTTTTTCTTGAGCTTTTTCGTGTTCTATTGTCGCTGTTTCTTCATCATTTCCAATAACAACGGTTTTTTGGTCATAGTTCTCAAAATCGTGCTCAATTTTTGTCGCTGTTGTTGTTGTAGCTGCACTCGTTCCCATCGTCGACGGAGTTGTTCTTTTATTGTTCAAATTCACGTCTTCCTCATCCTAAAGGTTTAGATTTACAAAAACGTACAAATCCAAAAGAATTACAAATTTACAAATCAAATTCCATTCCAAATTCCATTCAAATTTCATTTTACTCACCAATTGAATCTCTTCTGGTAGATATTCATAATCGGGAATCGGGTCAGCGCTATGTTCCTGAAGATCGACATAGTTTGGAGACGAGGGACTTTCTTCTTCGGCTAAACTGATCATTTTATTTTAATTCTTACAAGGGAACGTTCCAAAGAGGATATGAGACTTTTAAACGGCGATGAGATGTAAACGCCTATCGGATATGACGAATCCGATGCTGTATTTAGTTTTCTCCCGTGTACAGTCGCGTAGTCGCAAAAGTTGTTTAGTATTTCATTGTTTTTCAAAGCGCCCGTACTTTCAAAAAACGCGTTTTTGGTATGAAAAAATAGCCTTGAATTTCAGCTATTTTTTGATACCTAAACGAGCATTATAGCATAAACCAGTGTCGAGAAAAACTCGTTCAAAGCTAGACTACGCAACACTCCGCACCGTCATTATGGCGGTGGGGTACTATTACAGTATTTACGGTAGGTTTTACTGTACTTGAGAGTTTCACAAGCTCCTATTTTCAAGATCGGTTTGAAAACAGCATAAAGTTAGAAACAACATCATTTCACTTGCTTACCTCGATTCTCGGAACTCCTCTCGAACATCGGTCTGATTTTCTTCACGAACACTTTTTGCATGTGGAATAATGGAGTGTTTGCTGTTGGTGAAGATTCGCTAAAAAGATTTATATGAAAATATGCCTGAAATCCTCAAACGTTTTCTTCTTGTTCTTCTTCGCTTTGTATCGAATCGTTGTTGTGGGCACTTTCTCCAAAAATCGATCATCGTGATTGGGAGGGATGAAGATTTCAGTGGAATCGAAGGGATGCGTCGAGGTTTGCTGGAAATACTTCCTTTTCCATCCTTTTTTTTGTTACTATCTAAGCTAACGATTTCTATGTATATGCAAATCTCCTGGGCTTTCAATTCATTAGCTTTTCACTCACCCGTCCATTTGGTCCATTCGTGAACTTTTTCTTGACGACTATTCTCCTCGTTGTCACACCGTCTTTCAAAAATGTTTCCTAAACATCGAAAATAGTTGGCTCTTTTTCATTTTCCAGGGTTTACAGTAGAGTTCAGCAAACAAAACCAAAACCAAAACCAAAACCAAAACACCAAAACAAACCAAAACTCAATTTGCATATAAATTAACATGTAAATTTAAAATTGTAAAATGCAAATTTGCCTTTCACTTTTTCTCACTCCACAAAATCTCGTCGCCGAAAAAAGGACCAAAACACGACCTCGAAATTTCGAAACAAAAAATAGCCTATGGGATAGATTTTTGGATGCTGATTTCAAATCTGCAAACAGATTTTCGCTATCCCCTCCCAGTCGCGAGATATTGGCGAGTTTTGGTTAGTTTTGGTTTTGCTTTTGGTTTTGGTTTTGTTATGGCTTTGGTTTTGGCTTTGGTTAAGTTTTGTTTTCCGAATTCTAGTTTACAGTATCTTTAATGGCATTTTTTCTTATAATAGTATGGTTTTAGGTCTCAAATCACATTGTTCTATCTGTTTGAATCTTTAACCAACAAGGATCCTCAGAAAACGGACATTTTACATGAGAAATGGAAGCCTTTTATACGCGAGGAGTATGCCAGATGGCAAGCGATTAGGCGGCCGCACAAAGAACATCTCGCATTTTTCGGGAATTTCGAACACGGGAATTTTTCTTTTCTTTTCTAGATGATAAAAAAAGATATTCAGCTGTAAATTTGTATCCAGGGGTTTTCAGGGTCGGCGAATCGATTGGTGATATTCAGAGAACATCTAAGCCCCATTTCTGGTTTTTTAGATGATTAAATAAGCTGAATAATGCGATAAATAAGCAGAACAATGCGATAAATAAGCAGAATAATGCGATAACTTTCAAACCCCGGAATTGGTCAAGAGCCAGCTAGTTTATTAAGATAAATTTACATATTTTTTAACTTTCATAAAAACTCACAATAGTCGTGTAGAGTCGGAAAGTCGGTGACCTTTGTGTGGTGGTCATCGGTGAAGTAGCATCTTTGTATGGATTTGTGAAATTCGATGAATAATACCACCACCTAAAAATGAAATTTTTCTAAATTTCTTTAAAGTTTACTAAAGGATAATAAAAAAGCGAAGAGTTTTCTAAGGGATTTCTATAAAATCTCTATCATATTCCAATCTAAACCACCCACATGCCAACGTTTAGCAAAGAAAACGTTCGTTTCCTGCTAGAAATGAAAGACAAAAAAAAGAGTTGATATATTAAAATCAGTAAAAGTAGTTTTCTTAGAGTTAGATCTCAATTTTTTTGATTGATTTATCCGATTAGTTATGGTCTAAACAAAGCTCTAAACAAAATCCCTGTAAATCAATCAGATCGAAAGAAATTGACCTAATAGTAAGCCTCTTTTGGAAAGCAATTGTAAAGTTAAAGAAAAATCACACTTAGAAACTTGTTTGCTCGTTTATCAGATAAAAATTTTCATTTTAGAATGTCCATTTTTGGAATTACCCATTTTCGGAACAAGAGAAGGCCTCAAAAGCACTTCAGACCAGGCCTAGACCAGGTCTAGACTTAGCTTCTGATCTTATTTGGTTTAAAAGTTTAAACCTATAGCTCGATTTAGAACATTTCTAATCCTGAGTCAGTATTACGAGGCTTGATTATCAAGCTGATACTAAAAAAAATATTAATCTGAGATCAGATCCAAACGTATTGGGTTAATGCATTGAAAATGGGCTATCAGGGCAAAGTTTGCTTTTGAACTAACTAATACACCAATTAAAATACGGCTTTTTTTTCAATAAAAAAACATTACTTGTTAGTTTTCGGTAATTTTCAAGCAAATTAGGACCCTTTTTGAAGAAAAATTCAGCTGAAATTTGTGTTTTTTTTCATGAAATTCGTAAAATAAGCATATGGCGAATCGAATTGAACCAATCGAGTCGAAAATTTCGCTGCTTGCATAACTTTTTATGCTCTATCTTTTTTCTATTTACAGGGTGCGTCAGAATTACTCATGCTCACTCTGGAGGGCGTAGCTCAGTCAAAAGATAACCAATTCCCACAAAAATTTTACAGATAAATGTTGAGTGAGTCTCCTATAGCGGTGCCTATTATCTAACCGGTTTATCTAAGCTCACAAACTACAGTCATGGACAAAAGTCTTTACCCCTACCGAGGTCAGCTTTTAAAACGCAAAATTTTTCAACTTTTTAACAAGTTTTAAAAATTGTTTTCAAAGTATTTTGTAGCATTTTTACTCTAGTTTTTATATCCCATAACCAAAAGAAACAACGATTTATTTTAGGCAACAAAGAACGACGTTAACAAAAAAAAACCCTCAAAACAGGTGGACAAAAGTCTTTACCCCTTTTCAACTTTTTATTTTCTTGCTGTTGTTTCGTTATTTTTCACATAACAATGCTTTATTATTTTTTAATTCTAGTGATGCCTGGAGCCTATCTGACCACTCCCGACAAAGAAAAGATTGTGGAAGCAAGGAAACGAGGCGACAAAGTAAAGGATGTTGCGAGCGTATTCAAATGCAGCCCCGAAACGGTGAAAAAGCTTTGCAAGAAAGAAAAACGACTGGAATTCTTCACCGAGCATTCAAAACAGGTCGTTCACCCGTCACAACACGACAAGGTTCTAATTTTGGCCCACAAAAAGGATCCAAATCTTAATGCTTCCGATGGAGTCAGATTAATCAAGCATCAATTTAACAAGGACATCAATCGAAAGACAGTAAGCAGACGTTTGATTCATGCAGGATTGATGACTAGAAGACCTGCCAAGAAGCCCCTGATGGTCGCCAAACACCGGAAGATTCGACTCGACTTTGCCGAGAAGTATCAAAGTTGGACAAGCAACGACTGGGCCAATGTCATCTTCACCGATGAATCGAAGATCAACTTTTTCAATCCCGACGGCAATCATTTGATCCGGAGACCTGTCGGACAACGATATAGCACCAAATACCTTCGTGCGACAGTCAAATTTGGTGGCGGATCAATCATGTTGTGGGGTAAGAAACTTTTATCTTTATGCCTATTGACTTTTTTTCAGGAGCGATGACTAGAAGTTCACCAGGTCCGCTCGTTCTTCTCAATTCAACTTTGGACGCTCAACGATACAAGGTGATTTTGGAGAAAGATCTTCTTCCATTTGCGACCACAAAAATTGGACAAGGATGGTTGCTGTACCAGGACAACGCTCCATGTCACAAGTCGCAACTGCTAATGGGACGAGTTGTTCGCCTTGCCAACGGTGGTAGAGCTCGTCTACCCGGATGGTTCCGATCGAATGGAGTTCAGCTCGTATCTGCTCCTCCCTACAGTCCGGATTTGAACGTTATCGAACATTTGTGGGCGTTTTTGAAGCAGAAATTGAAGGGAAAACGCTTCAATACCAAGATTGAGCTATGGTACTTCATTCGACACGTCTGGACAAAGATCGGTCCTCAAATTTTACAGGATTTGGTCGACTCGATGCCGAGAAGGATTCAAGCAATAATTTCATCAAAAGGAGGCCCTACCAAATATTAAAAATACTCGGTTTTTTCTCACTTTTTGTTCGAGGGGTAAAGACTTTTGTCCACCTGTTTTGAGGGTTTTTTTTTGTTAACGTCGTTCTTTGTTGCCTAAAATAAATCGTTGTTTCTTTTGGTTATGGGATATAAAAACTAGAGTAAAAATGCTACAAAATACTTTGAAAACAATTTTTAAAACTTGTTAAAAAGTTGAAAAATTTCGCGTTTTAAAAGCTGACCTCGGTAGGGGTAAAGACTTTTGTCCATGACTGTATTATCTAAGCTCACAAACTTTTCAAACAAGCTCTCAAAGTTGGGAATCGCACTTAGCCTGGCGCGCGACCTAGTTTTGGGGTTTTTGAGGCGACATTGAAAGCCGATTGGGAAATTTTTGCACCAAATTTTCAGAAACGTGTTTTACAACCTTCGATCATCGTTTACGGGAAAAATCTCACAAATGATAATGAACAAAACCCTGCTTATTTATGATTTTCGTCATGTAAATCCGGGCCGAGAGGTGTTTAAAAAGTTGAGAAAGAAAAGCGAACTGTCTAATCGTTTGGTAATTATTAGTTGTTAAAATTCATATCTGAACATGATTGATTGAAAACTAACAAAAACTTAGCTCCTCTCAGTAAGCAGCTGATTTTTCAAAAACCCTAAAACTAGGTCGCGTGCCAGGCTAAGTGACTACTCTCAACTTTGAGAGCTTGCTTGAAAAGTTTGTGAGCTCCAACCGGTTAGATAATGGGCACCGCTACAGGAGACCGACTCAACATTTACCTGTAAAATTTTTGTGGGAATCGGTTTTCTTTTGACTGAGCTACACCCTCCAGAGTGAGCATGAGTAATTCTGGCGCACCCTGTACACTAGAAAAAAGATAGAGCACAAAAAGTTATGCAAGCAGCGAAATTGTCAACTCGATTGGTTACACTAGAATAGGTTTCTGTGGTAGAAAGTGCCCAAATTGAAACATCAAATTCTTGCCACTTTTTAACAATCTGGCTTCTCGTCTATGAAAAGTCTCGAAAACAAAAGTGTTTTCAAATCTTTTAAAACTCATTTTATAGAAATTTAATGGATCTTTCTACTAAAATAATTTCTACTCTTTGATTGGTGAATTGGGGATTTTAAAAAATGACTTTAAAACTACAGCCCATTTCCAATGCCTAAACCCAATAGAACGTACCAGCGTTCTTTTACTTGGCTCATTGATCTACAACAGTACTCAACTTTATCTAGTACTAACTATAAGCCTTTTCTTGCAATAAGTACAGTATCTTCTCTCATTTAAAGCATCACTTACTGATATTCCTTTGGAATCAATCCGATTCGATACGTTGAATAATGAAAATTCGGCGGCGTGATCTCGAAATCTTCGTCTGATGAGAACAACTTTTTGCGGGTTGTTTTCGCGATCGGATTCTCGGTGACGCCTAAAGTAAAGAGTAAATAGTAAAATAGTCAACTGAGTAAAACAAAATAAGCATAAGCATAAAACCAAGCGACAAGCAACTAAAAACACGAACAAACTAAAAAAAAGCAAAAAGAAAAAGCGTGTCTCTTCATGCATAAAAAGTAAACCAAAAAGTCAACTAGTACAGCTGGATTTAACCAAAAAAAAGTCAACAAAGAGATTTTAAGCGAATTGGAAACATTTTTCTGGATAAAAACGGCTTGCTAAGGTAAATATGAATAGCCAAACGATTGAGATTTTCTAACGATTTCAGTTGTTTCAGTTGTTTCAATTGCTTCGATTGAAAGCTTTTTTTAAAAACGCAACTTGTGAAATGAAAACTTTTCAAGCATTTTAAACCGAATTAGCAATTTCAAGCAAACTAGCAAAGCAAATTAGCAAAGCAAATTAGCAAAGCAAATTTTAAGCAGCAAATTTCAAGCAAATCCCACCTTCAGTCGCCTTCTCGGAGCTGGTGAATTCTTGTTTTGTGGTCGATGTCTCCGTGTTGTATTGGGATCGAGTCTCGGCCGAAACCGGGATATAAACTGTTGAAGTCTCTCGGGAGATGTCCTCGAGTTCCCTGAGAATCGAAATTATATTCTATTCAAATCTTTACAAGAACAATTCTTGTTTGTGTTAGAAAAACTCACTTATCTCCCTCAATCGTGGTCGTTTCTTTCTCGCCAGCTGGCTCTCTAAAAAAGGAAAAGATTAAAACGAGTTTTTCTGGAATTTCAAAATACAATATTGGATCTAGAAATATTGTAGTATTACTTTCAAACTAATTTCTCACCTCTCCACCTCCGTTGTTCCCATTTCCTCGTCTCCAGTCGGCAGCACCACAATCTTTTCCATGTTGACTTCTGAAAAACTTTTGATTAAGCAAAACTTTTAGCCTTTCTTTTTTTAAGCTTTTATCACTGTATCACTGTCAACAACTTAGAATTTTATTACATTTAAGAGCTTTTTTTCGAACTCATAGTCAGCTCTAAAGCGGGCCTCGACTACCGTTACCCTCTAATCTATATGTTAATGTAGTCCTTAGACTAGCTGGGTTACCGTAACCTAGCCACACTTTAGAGTGCCTATCCGAGTCGATTAAAATATTCGATCAACATAACAAACCTGTAGAAGTCTGTGGTTTCTCAATAACTGTATCTTGGAAAGATTTCTCAAAGGTTTTCCCATCATTTCCTATTTCTTGACTCATGATGAATTCAACGTCGAGATCATCCGGGGAAATTGATTGAGAAGAAGAAATGGTTGATGTCTGGAATTTGACAAAATTAAATTTGTTCAAAAACGAAGGATACAGTACTGAAACAAAAGTTCTTTACAGACCTAAAAGATCAGTTACATTAGTCAATACCAGTGCTGTTTCTAGACAAAAATTTCTAGATCAGGCCAAGCCAAGCCACTTTTCATTGTGGCTTGATTTTACCTGACTGAACCGTGGCTTTCCGATTTCATCAAGCCAGCCAAAGCCAGGACACACCGGTGGCTTTGGTTTGGCTTGGCCTGGCTTAGTCACGGCTTTTGGCTTTTAGGAACAGAGTCTAACCTCAAGCTCCGTATCGAGATCATCAATCGTGGTTGATTGAGACAAGAGGGTCGATGTCTGAAATTTGACTTAAATTATGAAAATTTGACCTGGGTTTAAGCTTGAGTTATGCTCCTACTTTAAAACTGGCATTAGCACTTAGATTTAGATTTAACCTAATGTCAAAAACAAATATCAATTTGAGAAGATGGCAAAAAGTGCCTTTAGATTTTGCTTTGATAGTCTTGGTGAAGATGTAATTCTCACCTCGATCTCATCGAGATTCACAAATCCCGAAGCTCTCTGCGTGGTGATTTTTGATTGATCAGAGTTTCTCGGAATGATCACTTCGCTGCCCGTTGTCTCTGTTCTTCCTGTTGTTCTCAAAGTAGGTTGGATGGTAGCTAAAAGATCTGTTTTCCTGTAGCCAACGAAACGCTTACCCAAAGTCGAAGTCTTTGGAATTAGCTCTGGCTTTTCGGTGGTCGTTCCATCCGTCCAAATCTAATAATAAATGAATAAATACAGGATATTTAAAAATCTAATTGTGCCCCCCAGGGTTGTTCCACGGCTAGACCAAAAGCTATAGGTTCAATCAGACCTGGACCTAGTTGACTTCAAGCTCCGCCTGAGGCTGCCTCTAGCCTAATCTGGGCCTACATGCTCTTTCTAATATACTCACCTCAGTGATCACCACTTCTTTCCCAGAAACTGTTGTTGCCTGCGTCGTACTCATTGTCTCATTTCCCTCTTTTTCCTTCTTCTCTTTTTTCTCATCTTCTTCATCTTTTTCCTTTTCTTTCTCATCTTGTCGTTCTTTTTGCGCTTTCATCATGTCCCCAATTGCCTCGATCTGAACAAAGAAATTTGACACTAAAGTTGTTTGAAGTTGGCTTAATTGGCCAAGTTCTAAAACTGGAACTTCTAGGCTTACAAAACTGGCTTTAGAATTTAAATTTGCTCACTTTTTTCTCATCTTCTCTTTCCTTTGACTCTTCCTGTTTTCCCTTGCCACGACCTCGATTTCGGTTTCGCGGAGTGGTTCGACCACTGAAAAATTCCAGTTATAATGGCTTAAGCTATAATTTTGCTTCACTTGACTTTAACTGTTTAACTTTAACTGCATAACTTCATTTATTTTACCGTATCAAGTCCTGTGCCGTGTAGTGAATTCTTGGATTGATCGTCGGGAAAAGAGTCGTGCTTCTCGTCATCTTTCTCGTTGTGAGCGTCACGCTTTGTGTATCCTAAAGTGCTTCATAGTTCATTTTCTAAAAGACACCTCTTTTGGAAAGCTACCGTAATGCAATTTGGGATCTAATTTGAAAAACTACCGTGATCCAACCACCAGCTCACATCCAATCAGCCCAATTTTGAGCTCATTGACTGAGCCTTGTGATTCCCTCATCGAATGATACCAAAATTCGGCTGATCGAATGAAAACTAGCGGCTTAATTACGGTAGTTTTTCAAAAGAGGTGTCTTTTAGAAAATGGACAAAAATTAAGCTAAAACTGTACCTGCGCTTTCGTTGTACTCGATTCGTTCTCTTCTTTCGATTCCCCATTGATTTCCCTATCCATTTCCTCCAATTGTCGATCGATTTCGGCTATATTTCGGTCAATGACTAAAATCGAAGTTGAATTGAAGCTAAAAATCGAAAATTTTCTAGCATTTACCCGTTTTCGTTGTCGTTTTCCGTTGTTTCGTAGTTGATCCCCAAGTGGACGTCTCAACCGAGTTCTCTTCGTGATTTCTAAAAGAATCATTTCATTTTGAGAATTCCCTATGTTCAAATGAAATGATTTCTTATATGCAGAATGAAATATGTAGAATTAACTCTTATTCAACTATTCAAATAGTCGTTTTTTCGCTGGACAATGATTTTGAGGAGCTTTCAACTTATGATTCTCAACTTGTCTCCAACTTCGTCTCAGATATGACACTTACAACTTGAATGGTCATTTAAGAAAATCCCAATTCGCGAATACGAAAATGAATTGAATACTAATTAAATTTAAAGACTGAATTCTAATTCAGCTATTCAGCTATTCAGATAGTCGTTGTGTCCACCGGATGATCAAGCGATAAATCTTGAAAAAATAAGATTTTCTTGTTCTTTAGTGGTTTCTCTGAATTGTTCAAGTGAAAACCGACCATATTAAGTGAGCTTTGGTGACATTTTTTATTTATTTAATATCTCTACTCTCATATTTTTCAAAACCCACTTTTCTTTCAATAACTCCAGCTCGTGATCAAGGAAAGTGGCGGTGGCGAAACTTTTCGTGTACGGAGCAATAGTTGACGCTGTCGGGGAGTAGAGTTCATCAACCTTGAAAATTTGAATCATATAGACTTTCTGCAAGCCAATCAGTAGATCTATCTTGCCATTTGGCTACTTTAGCCCGGCTGATGTTTTAAACGCAAACGCACCCTTTCTGGTGCACTCAGTTCATATTTTTTCGCGATAGCAAATCAGAAAAATAAGGAATTCAGTGCCCAGAAGGGGTGTGTTTACGCGATCACAAAGTACATCCAAAAACAAGGCACTTACCGACTGTTCAGCTGTTGGAGCAAATGTGGAGTGTGGAAAGATTGGCTCAACGAAATCATAAACCTAAAAGAGTTTTGTAGATAGAAAAAGCTATCAAAGTATTTGTAAAAATGCTTCAGCATTACAATTGATATTCTAGAAACTGTCAAAATTGGAATATTTCCAATTAAACTTCTCTTTACATTTATTTCTACTCAAACAATTCTTCTTTTGTTATCTGATGATTGCATTCGCTTCTAACACGTAACTTATTCCATTTTCTTTCAAAATGAGCAAAATTTTAGCCCAAGAACACCTTGCCAGTCATTTACAGTGATTTCCCTTGTCCTGTAAATGATTTCCAAATGAGAATTCAGTTAAAATTTGGGCCCCGGGGTCGTAGAACCTATTGGCGGAGTTATTTTAACCCTTTGTCCCAAGAAAAGTCCCAAGAGAATCGAATTGGCTTTGGGCTTTGCATATGATAGCTTTCACGATGAAAAGTCCCAAATTTGCGAGAAGAACCAATATTTTTTGCTTTTGCTTATAAGCGTAACCAAAATTTACCTGACAAGTATTTAAATCCTCATCATCGAATAAACTGTCATCGCCGGGTACAATGAAATTGAGGAAATAGTCACGAAAGTTCAAACTAAAGTGTAAATTTGGCATTTTAACGTAATGAAAAAATTACCGAGAAAACACGCGCTCTGCGTCGGGGCAATGCGAAAGCACTGCGTTCTCCAAACATAAAGCATTTAGATGAACGTATCTAAAGTAAAAGAAATCAATAGAAAGTACAGGGATTACTGTTACTTTCACTATAATAATTGAGTTATAGTTTACGGTGCGCTAGCCGCAAACTATAACCTAAAGTTTGCCGTAATTCAAACTGTTCTATTCAAACCAATTTCAAAAGCACTAATTTTACATTACTTTCCGAAAAATTAGCTCACATAAAGTTTAAATACTGTCAAAACTCAAATAAAGCTACAGTAGATTAAATAAAGTAGATTGTAAATAAAGTAGATTGATAAATAAAGTAAATTGAACCTGCAAGTTTCCTGATCCGGCGTGAAGTGAGGTCCGACGCGACGTCGCAATCGAACCGCTTCCTAAAATAAATCATTTTTTCAAGTTTTGGTCTAATGAAAAACTTTCAACAATTCATTTACCCAAATTTCCTTAAATATTAAGTTTACAAAGCGTTTTACAAAGCGTAAAAACTAGCTAAAAACCAATATAAAGTCACTCACTTTCATGAAAGACGAGCATCGCACCTCCACAAACGTGTGATAACGAGAGATGCAATTCAGTTGGGGATGCAGATCTGAAAGTTTTCGTAATGAGTGACTAACAAAATAACGAGTAAATATTAAACCGTAAATCCTCTACCTACCTAATAATAGACCAGCATGTCAATCTATTTTTCGATATCTTTTTGAGTGCCGATTTAATGTTCGGAATTTAATGAACCAAAATAAACCAAATCAAACCTCTTTGGATCACCACAAAAAAAATTTTCGACCAATAAAAGATGAACTTCTGATTTTATGTAAACAACAAAACAAAGATAAAAACATGATAAAGTACCTAACTAATCAATAAACTCTAATGGTGCATCAAAATCAAGGTCGCATTCATCAGTTTCGATGGTATCTAGGGGCCACAACTTCTTGATCCATTTGAGCATTCTTCAGCTTTTGATATCTTTTGATATAGCCTTTAATATGAATAGGTTCACTCCTTTGGAAACAATGAACGAGCTGGTCTTTCGATCGATTGCTGTAGTGATTCAATTGTTTGAATGAATCCGCCAAATGCTGTCTAACGCCATTGACCCGTTCCCGTTTTTTCCCAGTTGTTTGAGAAGTTTTTGTTTTCTCCAATCTTGAATCAACGATCGTGATACTCCAAAATGTTTAGCAGCTCCTTGGTTTGAGTTCTACTTAGCGTATTCGATCACTTCGAGCTTGAATTTTACGCTAAAGGCCCGCTTTGCTCCTCTTGCACTCGTCAAATCCTCGGCTTCATTTGCATCTTCCTTTCTTCGTTCGATCGTTTCTCTCGCTTTCCTTATCTTCTCCGCCTTCACTTCCATCGTCATCGAAGCTCTTGTTTAATCCTTGTTCATAATCCCGATGAACACAAAATTCGGTAAAAGCATCGCTCATTTCATCCAACGATCGCTCTAGTGATTGTTGTTGCTCCAGTGATTGCTTGTTGCTCGAGTGATTGCTTATGGCTCGAGTGATTGCTTGTTGCTTGAACGATTGCTTGTTGCTTGAACGATTGTTTGTTGCTTGAACGGTTGCTTGTTGCTCGAATGATTGCTTGTTGCTCGAACGATTGCTTGTTGCTCGAATGATTGATTGTTGCTCGAATGATTGCTTGTTGCTCGAATGATTGTTGTTGCTCGAGTGATTGCTTGTTGCTTGAACGATTGCTTGTTGCTCGAGTGATTGTTGTTGTTCGAACGATTGCTTGTTGCTCGAGTGATTGCTTGTTGACACCTTTAATTGACTTCTCGAAACCTAAAAAGAAAATATTAATAAATGTAGCATAAAGTTAAAAAAAAAAAGAAATACGTTAAGTTGTCAGTAAAAAAAAGCAGAATCAAACGAAGTCGGAAACAAAAGATATTCAGTCATGGAATTGGAGGCTTTGAAATATAGGTAATGTTAATTTGGGGCTCTATTTTTCGATACCCTTTTTTGTGGTGGTCCAATAGAGGATATTGGTATTTCCATCATTTCTCCACTCACCACTCATCACATCTTTGCACTGCCGCAGAGTGTACGTGATGAACTTGTCGAAATCTTTTGGTTGATCATCACAATGGGTCATGCAATCGAAAAGATCATAGAGGCGCCTAAACGAGTCAACTTTGATACTCTTTTCTATTTTAGATTAGTTTTTAGACTAAACCCAAGCTCAGATTCGAATCCTGTCTTGCTTAAAATGTTTGGTTTCACTATTGAAGAGTCAAAACTGATCCAAGAGAGCTTGAGAGAGGCGTTTTTGACGTTTTTCTATTTTAATATTAATTTTGAGCTTGCCAATGAGTCTCAAAAAGCTAAATCTCAAAAATTTCGATATTTCCATGTGCTTTTTTTCCCGTCACTCAAATTCCCTTCAAAAAAATGATTGTTTTGTTGTTTGTGAGCGTGTGACAGATGGCACTTTACGATGCTCAATGGGATCAATTTCTCGCAAGAAATCGGAAAATTCTTTTTTTGCAAATATTTTCCTTATCTTACTCGCAAGAATTTACACCTAAAGCTTTGTAATTTGAGCTCAAGTTTTTGTGAATGAAATGCTCGAACACCAAAAGCTGAACAAAGCTGAACAACATATGTTTTCCAAAGAGGAAAGAGTTTAGAAATCGGAAACTAAGTTGTTTTTGAGATGCTTTAAATAGAAACACACCTTTCTGGTGCACTGTATGCTTCAATTTCGCTTCAATTTCCCTTCATTTTCTCACAGAATTAACTCAATCTCACGAAAAATCGAATGCAAAAGAAAAAGTGGCCTTTTGAAGTAAAAAGTGCTCTTCCTAATGACAACAAGTTTCAAATTAAGTCAGTAAATTGCTTTTGTTTTGTTATAAAGATCATTATTGATAAGTTTTAAGTTAGTTATCGATAAGTTTTAAGTTAGTTAGTTAGTTTTAAAGTTAAATAGCCTTAATCTAATTAAAGCTAAGCTTAAAAGCTTAGCTTTAAGCTTTCCAAAAAGTCTTTTCTTTCCTTTTCATACTTTTGTTGAAAAATCAAAAATTCACCAATTAATCTATAGTTTTTTCTATTTCTTTTTCTATTTCTATTTCTTTTTCTATTTCTTTTTCTAAGTTTTCTCTATAAGTTTTCTCTAAAAGTGTTTCTTGTTAAAATTTCTATCTTTTAAAGTCAATTTTCGCTCAATTACAAGCAAATTCAAGAGTGAAAACCATGTTTTTTCTGAAAGATCTATCAAAAAACACCTCTACGAAGCATTGGGTGAATGAATGAATGAAAATGAATGAATGAAAAAGGTGAATCTCCGAAAATTTCGCTATATACTAAACTTTTTATGCTCTATCTTTTATCTATTGACACAAAGATAGGTTTCTTTAGTCAAAAAGTGTCTAAAGCGAATCATCGAGTCGAGCTTTTTGACTAAAGACTAACTCGACTTCAGGCTCTCAAAAAAATGCAGAAATAAGTCATTTTAAACCCGTTTTAATCGTATTTTGCAGAGTGATCTTTCTAATGAAAAAAAACCGATAGTTTAATTGGTGCATTTGTTGGTTTTAAACGGAAGTAGAAAAAGGAAAGAAAAGACTTTTTAGATTAATACAAATTTCCACTCACCAACAAGCGTCTCGCAGTTTGCCGGCCGGCTTTTGACGATCGAGCAAGCTCGTCAGGGTGACTCTAAAGATTTTAATGCTAAAAATCGGTAATGAAGCTTCAAGTTGCTGAAAAATGATTGGATACAATGGGCATGGTCGTCATGGCCGACTGGCTAAGTGCTCTGTATCTTAGTCGAGAGGTTAGGAGGTCAAGAGTTCAATTCCGTTGGCTTTTTTTTGTGGCCTTTTTTGATATATATGTCGTAGCCATTACGAATCATTCGTAAACGGTTACGACATATAAATACCGTAAATACTGTAATAGTACCCCAGCCCCATAATGACGGTGCGGAGCGTTGCGTAGTCTAGCTTTAAACGAGTTTTTCTCGACACTGGTTTATGCTACAATGCGCGCTTAGGTATCAAAAATAGCTGAAATTCAAGGCTATTTTTTCATACCAAAGACGCATTTTTTGAAAGTACGGGCGCTTTGAAAAACAATGAAATACTAAAAAACTTTTGCGACTACGCGACTGTACGAGCGGGACACTATTACAGTATTTACAGTATGGGCTTTTTGTTTCCCTACACTTAAGGCTTAACGATTGTGCTTGTGTATTCTTGTGTACTATATTATTCGTGTGAATAAATGTCTTTTGTGTTCCTTTTTTTCTTATTATACGCCAAAAGCACGTATTTGGATGGGGGGTGGGACAAATGCTACCTTTTTTGCGCACCTGGACATTTGCGCACCTTTTTTTTGCTGGAAAAGGTCTTGGGCAAGGCCGTAGAGCTTCGAAAATATTTCCATATAAGGGAATCGTATGCGTAGATTCCGAATTTCGACAAATCAGACCTCGCTGACACGTCAAATTTGGGCTAAAAGGCAAAAACTACGCAACTTAACACTTTTCCGCAGTTTTTGCCTTTTAGCCCAAATTTGACGTGTCAGCGAGGTCTGATTTGTCAAAATTCGGAATCTACGCATACGATTCCCTTGTATGGAAACATTTTTGAAGCTCTACGGCCTTTCCTAAAGTCTTTTCCAGCAAAAAAAGGTCGCATTTGTCCCACCCCCGTTTGGATGATCAAAACGAGCTGACTATGAGAGTGAAGGTTAAATTACGGTAAAAGTTTTGCAAATTACGCTATTATATCTAACTTTTAAGCAAGAAATCGGTAAAAAACGAGAAATATCGAGATTTTAAAAGTTAACTTACGATATAGCCAATTTTCCAATTTTCCCCATCACTTACCTCGCCAAATCGACTCTTTGCAGTGATCGATCGTGTAAACGATAGCATCTCGATTTGCATGGATCCTAAAATGGAAATTTAAAGAAATTTACTGAAAGAATTGCAATTTTAGCAAAAGAATTGCAATTTTAGCAGATTGCTGAAGAAAAACTAAAGATTTCAACGAAAATTTTGGGAAAACTGAGAATGCTTTGGCAAAACGTGGAAAAAAAAACGCCTCGAACCTGTGGTCGATCGGATAAATATTGGAGTTTATTCCTTCGCTGAAAAAAAATATGACTGTGTTTGATATGAAATGAAATATAGTTTTGTTTAGGCTTTCAATTTAAACTTGTTCTTTGTGATGTACAGGGTGTCCCAAAATTATGGTTACGAAATAACGTAAAAGTTTTCGACTTTATTTACATAGCAAAAATCAGCTGATAAGGAAAAATTTATTCTAAACAATTTAATTAACAATAAAAACAACATTTAAATCTCAAAATGGCCTCCTTTAGCAGCTATGCATTTCCTTAATCGTTTTGGAAAGTCATTAATGGCCTTTTCAATGGTAGACAAAGGAATCTCGTTCCAAGCTTTGATCAAATCCTTTTTCAATGAGTCAATTGTTGTGTGAGCTTTTGCACAAGCTTTGCTTTCAAGAATGGACCAGATAGAATAGTCTAAGGGGTTTAGGTCAGGGCTGTTTGAAGGCCATTCGCCCGGACGTTGTTGGCTGATATCCACTGTGATCCAGTCAGGAAAGTTGTTTGAGATCCATTCTTGTGTAACAGCTGCTTTGTGAGATGGAGCTCCATCCTGTTGATAAGTCCAGCTATTGGCGCCAAAATGAGCTTGAGTCCAGGGCAAAACATTATTTTTGAGCATATTGATATAAGCGATTTTATCGATTTTGACTCCTGGTGGAATGAAGATCAAAGGAGTTTTTCCGCTGTGAGTTACTCCGGCCCATATCATAACTTGTTGCGGCTTTTGTTGTCTTGACACAATTCTATCATAAAGAGGTGGTGGATCCTTTGACCAAACACGATCGTTTTGATGGTTATGGGCTTGCTCAATATCAAACCACTTCTCGTCTGTGAAGGAATTCCTTGATGGCGATTTGAGCCAAAGCGTCTCAGAAGCTGCTTGCACCGGGAAAATCGTTTTGCTTTCATAAGGTCCGTCAATAAATGGCCTCTGGCTTTCATGCCGGCTGTTTTGAGCATACGATGAACAGAACTCTTGCCGATTCCGACATATTGCGCGAGTTTTCGAACGGAGTTCTTGGACGACTTCGGACTTCTTTTGAGCCGTTTAAAAACTTTTCGTCGTTTTGCAGAAACATTGGCAGTCTTCTTTCGACCGCGTCCCGAGCGATCTTCATTTGATCCCGTTTCCTTGTATGCGCGGGACACATTCATTTTCCCCTCCTGCAAGATTCGCGAAATTTCAGCGTTGGTTTTTTCCCGTTGGTGGAGGGAAATTATAGCTGGTCGAAGGTCCTTCTTCGATTTCATACCTGAAAATAGATAAATTAGTACAATGAAACCAAAAAGTAAGAAAAAAAACCAGTAAAATGAAAAAAAAGGCAAATAGAGTGCACGTAACCATAATTTTGGGACACCCTGTACTTTGTGCTCTGTAAACGAATCCTTTCTGGTGCAATAGGTTCTTCAATTTCTTTGAGAGTTCAGTGCACCAGAGAGGTTGCGTTTCTATTTACAGAGCACAAAGTACAGATCCAGAAAGACACTAGATGTCTGCGGAAGTTCGCAGACAGTTCGGAAGCTCGGTTAAAAGGCTTCTCTCGGGCGACGCTCGTGTCAGCTGGTGGCGCAGTGGATAAAGGGCCAGGATACAAGACGGGGATACAGTTTTTGCTTGAGTTCGAGTCCTCACTTAGCAATTCTTTTTTACTTTTTAACAAAACTAACAAGGGAAGGTCAACTGGATAGGCCACATGAGCTATAGATCATTCGACGCCGAATTCAACGCCAATTCCGAATCTGCTTTCTGTTTCTCCCATGGAGCACTCTATCAAAAGTTCTACGTGTTTAAAGTTTTGTAAGTAGTTTCAAAAACCAAACCTTAAAACCGAGGTTTTCACGGTTTTACGAACTTAAGTAAAAGTTAAATGGCCTGCCTTGTATGCTGGCTTCTTACCCACTGCGCCACCAGGTCATCTTCTCGTGGCGCGAAAGAAGCTTTTTAAGCGAGATGTCGCATGTAGTGTGGCTCCTGTGATTTGGACCTTGTACCCTGGACCTTGTACCCTG